TAGAATGCTTAAATTTTAGAAAAATTATTAGGCGTCCGTGCAACAAAATTAACACCCTAAACTAAATGCGGACGAAGTCGCGGGGAACAGCTGGTAGCTAAAATAAATTCAAAATTAATTGAGTGCTTTTATCTATCTCCCAGGTGAGCGTAACAATGATTAGTTAATTCTGAACTCTTTCATTTCACGTTGCTATGGTATTTTGAAAGTTTAATTGATTAATAAGTTTTTATTTTATTTATTTCTTTAAAAAAAAGACGTTACCCCCACACTAGGATTTTCTCGTGTATCGTGGAGGCAGTTTACAAACACAAATTGCACAAGGACAAACATCCAGACCCGGAACAATTATTTGTAGGCCATACAAATACAAATACTTGATCCGTGCGGGATTCGAACCCGCGGCCCCCTGCTCAGCAACTCATTGCTAAGACACTGCGCCACGGAGCCGTATAAGAGTATAAGAGGTTGATAGCAAATGTATCAAGAATCATTTCTTGCCTACACACTTTTCATGTATCGTGTACGTTTTTCTTTAAAACTGAATAAAACCGCGCATAGTATGCCGACAGATAAAATAAAAGTACTTCATTAATTATGACAATTTTTCCATACATTATTATCAAATAAAATATTTGATTGCAATTATAAAACTAGGTGTCATGTCATGCCATGCATCTCGGACACATGATGACGCGGGTGAAACCGCGAAATGATTAGGCGCTGCTTTATCGCTTCATATTATACCTCTGTGGCTCTATATACCTAATATAGATTGCTTATTTTATTATGTTTAGTTTTTCCGAGTGGTTATGCAGCGATCACTCAAGAGTTCGGCTTCGAACGTGTGTAACTGCAAAAATTATCCCACGGGAACGAAATATTTTATATTACTGGGAGCCGCGGGTTCGAATCCCGCACGGAACAAGTATTTGTATGGCCTACAAATAATTCTTCCGGGTCTGGATGTTTGTCCTTGTGCAATTTATGTTTGTAAACTGCCTCCACGATACAGGAGAAACTCCTAGTGTGGGTGTAACGTTTTTTAAATAAGAAAAAAAAAATTTGTATGGCCTACAAATAGTTGTTCCGGGTCTGGATGTTTGTAAACTGCTTCCACTATACAGGAGAAAATGCTAGTGCGGGGGTAATGTATTTTTAAAAAATAAAATAAAATAAAATTCCAGACTATAACCTATCTCTGAGCAAAATATCATCCAGGTCCCTTCAGCGGTTCTGGCGTGATTGAATAACATACATCCTTTCATTCGTCCATCCAAATATCCAAACTTTCGCATTTATAATATTTAGATAATAATTGTAATTAGTTCTGCTTACCTATAAATTTTTTTCAAAAATACTTACCTGTCTTCTTACTTTTTTTTATATATACTCAATATCACTAAACGTAAACACAGGTTTTTATCAAGACAAGTGACCCATCAAGATTGTTTTCTTAGTACTGACGTACCTACCTAAAGTTTACAATTTTGTGGCCACGACGCGGTGACGTTTTGTGACATTTTGTTGTATTGTAGGTTGTAGGTATCTAGGTAATAACAGTAGGTACCTATGAAAATCCCACATAATATACCTTGTTTGTCCGCCGCAAGAGTCGTCTAATAAATAATTAAACTGTTTTGTAATTCTTTATTTATTTATAACACTTGCATTGAGAGCCGTGGTAGCTCAGATGGTTATCGTTCGCCGTAAGTATCACACTACGCGAGCAACCCGGGTTCGATCCCCGTCGGCACCAATGAAATTGTTGCAATTTTATATAGTAATCGTATATTATAGACTTAATTTTTTTTCTTTTATAATTATATTATATTACAGACGAAAATTGAAATAAAAAACAAAATTGTCTGTCGTCCAAAACGCATCATCTCTTTCAATTATATCAATTTCCATGCTGTCTTTTGTCTTTGGCGTCCAAATTACAAAATAGCAAAACTTTTCGTTTCGAATAAAACTCGAATAAGCCCGCGTCACCGCCCGTGCATGTGTGTGTAAGCGTCGTCCTCCCGCACCGCACCGGGGCAAACATTATTCAGTGAGATGCACGATAATTCATAGTAACATACGCGCGTAAAAAAATACGAAAAGGCCTTTGGAAGAAGGGGTTTTATGAAAAAACCACTGCATAAATTAATTACGAATAAAATTTCTTGAATTCTTCGATAATTGAGCTGTGTCGGTACCGACTTTGTTTTGGAAATTTCACACTTCTTTTATTACTAATTTACGCCCAAAGTTGTGTTAAAATTGGCAATAAAAACGAATCTTTGGTAGCTCGTAACTTTTTAATAACATTTTATTTTACTATTCTGTTTCCGTACAGACAAATTTGATAATGAGACAAAACGATATCATGTTTAACTTTGGATGTACACTGTCAAACAGCGTAGTAAAACCCCTCCGAAATTTGTATGGAAATCAATGGAAATATTGTCGACTAGTGTCACCTTAAAGTAGCTAATGGGTAACTTTAGCCAAGGGTGTCCCTAATTAGTTGCATAGTGTCGTCCAACACTCAAGTAACGTTTATGAAACAAAATTTCGTCCACTGTGGGTTAAAGCCTACTGTGCGTACGCATAGTATCGTTCTTGAATACGGGTGTTAGTCACCTAACCATAAGTAAGTCACTTAAAAAGGCCGTCCCTAGATATCCTCAAGATGACTTTTGCCCTAGTTGCCACGCCTGCGTGAAAATATGCGTTATACTGGTTGGCCACCGCAGTTTTTTATTATTTTAAGTTTTCATCAGGAAAGTGCTGCTGCCCCATCCCCACCTTGTATTATTGCTTACTACGCGGGGTAGTATCATCCCGTGTATAGACAAATTCTCTTGTACACCACAACTAGTCGCACACACGCCACTAACTTAGTTAGACATGCAGGAAATGTGTTTTGTACTACAAAACCTTTTTTTCGGAGGTCTGAGTTCAGCACTGAACTTATGATGGATTGGTATGTTAAAACATTATTGATTTTTTTGTAAAAACATAAAACTCGACACAAGGAAATTTTTGAATAATAATTAATATTTTTATTCTTAATTAATATTTAAGTACATACTTAATATATTACTACTTATTAGCTATATCACACTTTGTGCTAGTAGCGTCTTCACTTAGTGCCGTCTAAATCCAAAGAGTTTATTGAATCTCCCGTAAAATCGACGATGTGCCGTTGAATACGGAACGATGATTCTATTTTTACACCATTTCTACCCGTAGTTTTTAGTCACAGAATGTATTTTTAAGAGAAATTAATTAATAATCTGAATTATAAAAGAACATTTTTTTTATGGTAACAAATATTTTTTTTGTATGAATTTAAGTTCTGTGAATATAAATAAACCCATAACGGGGGAAATGGAACAATATCTGGTAACCCAGGGAAAGTACCTCCCGCCTATTTCTATCTCAAAAGCATACGCGAATGCTTTATCTAGTCAATCCTCTATCTACGGTATATACCTATTTATATTTTATATATTTTATAAAATGTTTTGATGGGGAAATAAAAACGGGGACACGGAGTACATAATGGTTGCTTTATTTTTCATATAAGTATTACTTGTGATAATTATAAATATTTAATAATTAAATACATTATAGAACTTTATTTTAACATTCGACTTAAGTATAAATGTAAACTTAATAATTCAAGGAAGGAAACTTGTAGGAATCAGTTAAATAAAATTGCTCTGTTTAAAGGCCAATATACTTATGAGGCTTCATCATGCTTCATGTTTATATTCTTTAATCTGTCCCTGAAAAGTATAAAGTAATAATAAACTTATTATCATTTTAGCTGCATGAATTTGAAAAACATAATGATCTTAACACAGTAAAGTGGACTAAGTGTCTGAGGATACAGATGCACTCTCTATTTTCTCAATCTCGGTATGTTAAGAAAATGGTCACTCAATCATGGATTGACCGCAGCAAGTGCAACTTAATCTCGCAGATCTATTGATCTGCGCAACTATTACTTTACCACGTGTTCCTCTTCTCTACGACTAACGCTGTAGGCGATGAACAAAGCTATTTAAGCCCTCGGCACAATGTCGTCGGCCATCAAGCATGAATCGGGCATCGACCGTTGTGAGTATCAAATACTATGGAATTTATAATATCATAGTATCATTACTAAATATCTATAGCTAACCACGCTAAAAGTTTTATCATTGTGACTTGGGAATGTTACGAGCTTAGCTTACGAGCCGAGTGAATTACCAAAATTGACACTTTAATTAAAGAATACTAATTACAACTTAAGACCACACTAATTACAAAACACAATTATACTACAGATCACTTTAGTTCGCAGTTGTATCGTTTACAAGTATTCGCTTGTATCGCCAATTCAATACTAACTCGCTCGTGGTCTATACCGGCTTTATATAGGGCCTCAAATATTTTCCAGAAACATCTACTGTAGAAACATTTAGAATGTTCGAGTACATATCGGTCCCGAGATTTCTAGAAGTATCTTGACTCTCCTAGTTCTGCTACTCGATACGAGTGGGCGTATTGGTATCTAGTTTTGCCAAGTACAAGACATTGATAGTGTTGCGCAACAGGAATATAATCCGAAGTTCTGAAGCTCCGATCAATCCCTTGGGGAAAATATCGTGATGCTATGAATATTGTACTAGTATGACCGTGAGGCTGTGCGGTTGGCTAAGTAAGGTTATGCATTTATTTTGGTTGATAAATAGATAATTAGTTGTGTTCATAAAGGCTTAAAGAGGGTAACCTCAAGATTTTTTGTCTTTATTGTACTACAGTTTTATAATGTACGAAAATCTGTCTCTATATTTATCTAAGGTTGGATTTATAATCATTTGGCAGGAATTTGGGAGAGTAAGGTATTTTATTTGATAGAGGTTTGGTCCCCGATTATAATAACACCACTCACATCAAAAGGTAATGCATCGTTACCGAATAAATAAATAAAAACTATTATAACCTAAAACGCGTAAAATATGGAAAAACGTATGCAATACTGGATAGCATATAGAATTTTGTGTAAGTGCGACAAGGACGTAAGACTAGTGTCACATTATTCTACTGTCTATACTCTCTGTCAAGTGTCAAATAAGAAATGATTATAATATTATACTGTTTTATTTCAGAATTGCTTCTAACTGCCTAGAAATGCTTGAACACCCAGATATACTTTCAGTTGTAATAGGTTAGAAGTATGTGGTGGGAGCGAAGGCAACCTGGCTTTATAGATAAGATATCTGATCTGATCGAATCTGTACTAAAATATAATTAGACGCACCGACTCCCCGTAGACTTGTCTGCCCTACTCCTAGAGTCTTTTTGTAAAGCCGTAGGCGCGGAACGCAAGGTTACGCTACGCAAGGGCAAAGGGGCTGTATTTCTTGCTGCGCCGGAGCCGTTGTAGAAGTAACTTTAGATCAATATTCCTGTGTAAAAAAAGTGAGGTTATGATTTAAAAAAAAAACCATTACTCATAAAATATACTTTTCCGAAAGGAGAAAAGGGTAAGGTAGGGTAAAGGTAGATGAGCTTTCCCTGATAGAGCACTCTCTTGCTCCTTTCTTCCCCCCTCGTGGCGGAGACGATAAATGTTATCATTTTGAGGTTAGGTCTATGGGATTTTCTTTTTGATTTTTCTCAGAACAGAACCCCCTCCCCTCCCCTCACCCCTTCCACTCCCCTCACCCCCTGACCCCCTCCTGCAAACGATTCTATATTTCAACCTTTATCTATATTTATCTAAAGTTTTGAAAGTTAAATTTTGAAGTCTTATTATAACAATATTATACTTACTGGTACAAATATTGTAAAAATGACTTCTTTTAATAAAATTGTTTTTAATCTACTTTTTCTTTTATACTTTTCAAGAAAATGTTTGCTGCAAATTATTGAGTTCTTCTTTGTATTACAACTAACCCGTCCAATGAACCTTAACCATTTTTTCTAATTATAGAACCCAGAGGGAACCTGTTTGACAAACGGTAAAATAAAATTACATTTTAGAACGCAAGCCGAGGATTTATTTTATTGTTGTGTAGGGAAGTCTATCGATTCATTATAAACATTCGATATAAATATCGACATTAATTTTGATATAGTTGAGTCAATCCCTACCATACATGTAAAATATTTTGTATAAAAATTTATTTACCAAATTCATGCAAATTATCAACAACGTGACTTTTTTTCTTTGTTAAATATCAAAATTAACAAAACAATTGAAAACGTTCTATATTTAAAATAGTATACAACATAAATTTTAACCAAAAATAAACGCTTCATAACATTGACGACGTCTTGAGAATTTACCTGTGAAATGTGCAATTATCAGGATTATTTCTATTATTAACACCACAATCACTTTGCAAGCTAAGCATTTTGGAAAAAAGTTACTTTCACTACAAAATCGGTTACAGAGTCATGAGATTTGGTATCCTTTTCTATCTTGCATTTTTGCAATAAGGAATATTCTTTTCCCTTGCACATTATGTTGATCTATAACCCAGTATATTCTAAGTCTATGAATACAAGCAAACTATTACTACTTCAAACTTAAAATTCAAAATGAGTTTTGGTGGGAACTTGACCGTCAGCAGTTTGAAGCTCCTGTATTATTGTTTAAATAATGGTTTGAAGTGGATTTTGATACGTAAAAGTGGAGCAATTTTGTGTATTAAGCGTCTGCGCATGTGAACTATTAGTGGAAATGGTGAAACAAGTGCTCTGATGGTGATGTAATTCTCAAGATAAGGTATCTGTCTGTTTAGGCACTTTGAGATACCATCACCAACTATCAGCTGTCTGCTGTTTCAAGTTGCCGTCGAAGTCTCCCAAGGGCTGCATATTGGGACGCATCAACATTGTGAAGCACTGTACTATGAAGGATAATTATACATCGTCATGTCTATGGCAAACTTGCAAATCGGTCATTTTCGCTTAATACTGTTTATTGGCCTAATCCACCCCCATTGTAAGAGAAACAACTGTGACTTGCGCATTTACTGATAAAATTTACATAACCTATTATAGATACAGATATCAGATAACTCTTCCACAGTATGTTTTATTACATTGAGGTCGGATTAGGCTAATAAACAGTATTAAGGTGACACTAGTCGACATTATTTCCATAGAAATTTCGGAGGGGTTTTACTCCGCTGTTTGACAGTGTACATCCAAAATTAAACATGATATCGTTTTGTCTCATTATTAAATTTGTCTGTACGGAAACAGAATAGTAAAATAAAATGTTATTAAAAAGTTACGAGCTACCAAAGATTCGTTTTTATTGCCAATTTTAACACAACTTTGGGCGTAAATTAGTAATAAAAGAAGTGTAAAATTTCCAAAACAAAGTCGGTACCGACACAAGTCAATTATCGAAGAACTCAATAAATTTTATTTGTAAGTGATTAATGCAGTGGTTTTTTCATAAAACCCCTTCTTCCAAAGGCCTTTTCGTATTTTTTTACGCGCGCATGTTACTATGAATTATCGTGCATCTCACTGAATAATGTCTCCCCCGGTGCGGTGCGGGAGGACGATGCTTACACACACATGCACAGGCGGTGACGCGCGCTTATAAGTATTCGAGTTTTATTCGAAACGAAAAGTTTTGCTATTTTGTAATTTGGACGCCAAAGACAAAAGACGGCATGGAAATTGAATGATGCTTTTTGGACGACAAACAATATTTTAAAATTTTCGTCTGTAATATAATATAATTATAAAAGTAAAAAAAGTAAAGTCTATATTCGATTACTATATAAAATTGCAACAATTTCATTGGTGCCGACGGGGATCGAACCCGGGTTGCTCGCGTAATGTGATACTTACAGCGAGCGCTAACCATCTGAGCTACCACGGCTCTCAATGCAAGTGTTATAAATAAATAAAGAATTACAAAACAGTTTAATTATTTATTAGACGACTTTTGCGGCGGATAAACAAAGTATATTATGTGGGATTTTCATAAGTACCTACTGTTATTACCTAGATACCTACAATCTACAATACAACAAAATGTCACAAAACCTCGCCGCGTCGTGGCCACAAAATTTAGATAAACTTTAGGTAGGTACGTCAGTACTAAGAAAACAATCTTGATGGGTCACTTGTCTTGATAAAAACCTGTGCTTACGTTTAGTGATATTGAGTATAAAAATAAGAAGCCAGGTAAGTAAGTATTTTTGAAAACAATTTATAGGTAGGCAGACCAATTACGATTATTATCTAAATATTATAAATGCGAAAGTTTGGATATTTGGATGGACGGATGGAATGGATGGATGTATGTTACTCAATCACGCCAGAACGGCTGAAGGGATCTGGATGATATTTTGCTCAGAGATAGGCTATAGTCCGGAATTTTTTTTTCAAAAAAACGTTACCCCACACTAGGATTTTCTCCTGTATCGTGGAGGCAGTTTACAAACATCCAGACCCGGAACAATTATTTGTAGACCATACAAATACTTGTTCGATTGATTCGAACCCGCGGCTCCCAGTACAACAATTCATTGCTAAGCCACTGCGCTACGGAGCTGCCAAATATCATATATGATACCGTTTATTCAGGTATTTCGTTGCCGTGGGATAATTATCGAGTTACACACGTTCGAAGCCGAACTCTTGAGTGATTGCTGCATGACCACTCGGGGAAAACTAAACAGAATAAAATAAGCAATCTATATTAGGTATATAGAGCCACAGAGGTATACCTAATAATTTCGCGGTTTCACCCGCGTCATCACGTGTCCGAGATGCGTGGCATGACATGATACCTAGTTCAAGCATTTTATAATTGCAATCAAATATTTTATTTGATTGTAATGTATGGAAAAATTGTCATGATTAATGGAGTACTTTTATTTTATCTGTCGGCATATTATGCGCAGTTTTTTCCAGTTTTAAAGAAAAACGTACACGATACATGAAAAGTGTGTAGGCAAGAAATGATTCTTGATAAATTTGCTATCAACCTCTTATACTTATTAATAAATTAAATTTAAACTTTCAAAATACCATAGCAACGTGAAATGAAAGAGTTCAGAAATAAAGATGTAACTAATCATTGCTACGCTCACCCGGGAGATAGATAAAAGTACTCAATTAATTTTGAATTTATTTTAGCTACTAGCTGTACCCCGCGACTTCGCGTTTAGTTTAGGGCGTTAATATTGTTGCAAAGACACCTAATAATTTTTCTAAAATCTAAAGTTACTTCTTATAACATGAGCTATCTACTAGTGAAAGTCCCGCCAAAGTAGGTCCAGCCGTTTTGGAAATTAACCGCAACAAACAGACTGACAGACATACAGACATACAAAAATGTTAAAAATTGTGTTAATGTTATAAGTACCGTATACAGTTTCCTACGCAATTAGTAAAAAGCTGTTATTTTGACATTACAAACAGACACTTCAATTTTATTTATTTGTGTAGATATAGATAACGATTGAACTAACGGCTAACCCTCAGATCATAGAAACAACAGTTTATGATCTGAGGGCTAACCTAACCTCGCTCATAGAAACTTTCAATACTGGCTTCTCAGTTCGCACCGGGCTAGGGGTTATGCGTTGTTTGCGCGTCAAGCCAAGTAGGTATTGAATTATTTTAATTTTACATAACTATGTACTATATAAACATGGTATAAAGAACGAAGTTTATCTTCATAAAATTGTATTGATAATGAAGTAACTTTGGTTCGTAAGGTGCCTAATAATTAAATTTTCATTTTTTTTGTCACAAAATGCCTAATTGTGGCTTATATATAAGAAATAGACATATGGTATCGCGGACTTTTTTTAGACGGAGTAAAGATCTATATTTTTCTAGAACATTGTATTTACGTATCCCGAACCATAACAGCGCTTTTTCTTCTGACTTCCTTAACAAATATAGGCTAGCTGAGATATATAGCCTAATGCTGTATAGCCTATACTATTCAACATGAATCTGGCTATAATATCCAAAGAAAGATTTTTCAAATCGGACTGGTAGTTCCAGAGATTAGCACGTTTAAACAAACAAAAACCCTCTTCTGCTTTATTATATTAGTATAGATGTTGCATCGTGTTCGTGTAACTTCGTTTTTATTCTAACGGTTCGGAACACCGTACGAACAAGACATGCGTGAATATTAGTGTCGATATGCTCATCACTGATACTATCTCTGTCGGGCACGATGCCAGGTGAGACAGCGTGCTTTTTGGCCGCACCCACCAGCGAGTTCGAGCCCGCGACTTGTGCCACCTTAAGCGACAGTTACAGATTCGCAACTTTGTCATAGACATGACGACATTGTAACTTCAGGCTCAAAAGAGCAAGAACCAAGACCCGTAAAGCCAGTTTTTAAAAAAAATCAAATTCAAATATTCATGATCGTTATTTCGTTATACACTTAACTTAGGTACTAGATATAAAGTTTATTTTGTTTAACAACTGTGTGTAAGATTTAATTTGAAACGTAGTTTTTCTTTCTGAATCGGATTATAAACTCTATATTATATTTATCATCGAAAATGGAGAAGAGTAAGTTAAATAAAAGACCTTTTTTGAGAAGTTGTACTCTTGGAATATTTCATACTAGAATTTATTCATGTTATTGCTATAAAATCAAAAATATGGAAAATAAAAGCTAATTAATGATTTCTTACGTGTTTTTTCACAGCACCAGCATCCACTGTGGAACAATTTACTGAAAACTGGAATCGTGACTTTCCCTCCTATCCTCTGACTCTAGATGATTTAAAAAAATCACATAAAGTAATGAGTGCCCTGTTGCATGTTTTTGATCGACTGGGTATTGATAAAGATACAATTTTTCAGGTACACATTTACGTCTTAATAAATTATTTACCTAAAAGAAATTATTAGTAATAAAAGAGGTCTTGTATTGTTAATTTACCAAATTCATGCTGACAGATAGATTTTCGCAGTTTATTGTTGAAGATGATTCACTACAGTGTTTGTATAATGTCTTTGATTATATACATGTCTAGATGCCACATCGACCGTACCGAACGGCCTAAATAAAGTCTACTAAAATTGGTAGACTCGCTTCTCACTTACGTCAGTGTTATTTGAATCACTTAAGGATAACGTGCTCACGAAAAATAATTAATTATGCTGGTTTGTGCTGTCAAATTGTATCGTAGTTATGTGGGAAAACCGTTTAATAACACCAAGATCACTTTTCATCAGCAAGTTTTGTTATTTAACCGCTATTATTTTAAGAAAACACGATATTTTAATTCGTTATTTTGTAGGTTTGTTTCATTAGCCAATGTTGTCAGCATATTACTAGGGAGATTTGGTGAAACTATGGGAGACAAAATACAAATATAATTACGTCATCTTTTGATCAAGAGGACATTATTATTTTAAAAATTACATTATTTATTTGATCAGTACATGATAATTTACTTACAAAAAATAAATGAAACCCATGACGTTATGCACTAAATAGTATTTTTGTTAGTTCTTTCTAATATTTTGGGTTTCAGATTTCCTTATTAATCAAGTATATAATCAAAGCCTTGACTGTTTCGTCTACCCTGCCGAGGTTGGGTTTTATTATTTCTTTTTGTATTTTATTGATATTTATGTATATTTAAAATTTTCATTTATATGTTTACAAAACTATAACTAACAAAAGTAATCATATAAATACCAAAAATTTATTACTGTTATTTATTCGCTAAACATGGTACCTACATCAAAGATGACAAATAGTTGTACATAGTACACATGCCAAAACTATTTAACATAATAGATTAAATCATTATTTTTATAAGTGAGCAAGTCAAAATGTATATATATATATATTGACTAATACTGATAATCAAAATGAAATTAAATTAAAATTACAATTCATCATTTTTATTTTATAACTAGGCAAATCAAATTAAGTATATATAAAAAAAAAGTCAAATGAGTATGTACTTAATCTAACGGGAAATATTCAAGAGCTGGTATCACTCAGCTCCCCCCTGAGTGACGCAGCACACTTGTTAAACAATAGTAGTAATGCATACTTGTGTGCGTATTATGCTCACAAGCGCTTCAAAACGGGCCGGTCGTTTTTGTTGCGATTGCAGCGCAACACTATCTAGACATGTATATAATCAAAGTCTATAGTTTTAAGAAATCCCTCTACCAACACAGCACAAATCTTATAATTTCTGAGAGGGTAAAGGAGTAAAAATGTTTACCATGTAACATAGGAGATATAATAAACCTACAATAGATTTTGAGGGGTTGGAAAAGGTGGGGGAGTTTTGTGTGAGCCCTCTGGAAGTGTCACTTTTTATTAGCCATGTAACATTTTTAGAAGTACTGCAAAAAATCTCTTAAATCTAAGCTAAAACTGCAAAGGGGGGTTACACATTAGAAAGATGCTGCTGCCCATTTCCTGCTTCAGTTTCTCTCAGCAGCCTCTTACAGCATTCACAGGATGTTATGGGGTAGTGGAATATCCTCTCACTCCACTATTACAATAAGTTTATACATAAAATTAATTTATTGCAAATTATTTGCTATTTTGTTTCATCAAGGCGCCACCAGAAGAAAGCAACAATAAACATTTTATTTATTACTGGGACTTAATTCCTGTGATCAATATGACTCGGATCATCAATCATCTTATCTCTGTGATGCCACAAGTAGGCACCAATATCACCATCAACCACTTTCTGCAACCGACAGCAAAAACATCACATCCCATATTGCTGTTACTTTACAATCTAATGTTATTTAATGAAGAACGTCTGAGGGACATTGCACCATATGAAGAGGAGCTGTTTTCAAAGATAAATGAGGTGAATCTTTAGTAATTTATTTACTAATTGTTTTTTCAGTATTTTCAGCATATTTAAAAAATCAGGAGGTCCCCAAATCAACTATTGTTTCTTGTAATGAATATGAAAACTTAAACTCTCAAAAGGGTTAAAAAAATAAACTTTTTAATTAGTTAAAAGCAAATTTTAAAAAATAAGAGATAAAAATCGTGAACAAATTCCTTCTGCAGTTGTTTTAATTTTTCTATACACTATGTCTAAGCACTGACTTCAGAAGCGATTATTTAATGCTCTGAACTGATGGAAATAATAACCTTTCAAGAATAATACTGTTTTTTATACATTAACATGAAAATTGAGCTAACAGTTAACCAGATGATAAGTGGTTATTGCAGACCATAAACAGTAATTGCATTGACTCTCTTACAAGATGTATACAAATATAAACAAGCAATTTAAAATGCAATAGACATCCATCTACTTACACCTGTTAACTTTTATAAATGTTTATCCTCATGTTTCAGGTCAAGACATTAGAGGATGGAAAAAACAGGTTACTGGAAAAACTCAATGAGCAAGCAGAGGAAAAGGGAAAACGTGCAGAGAGGCTAGAAAAGGTATTTGAAATATTTTTTTTTTATTGTAATGAATGAATGAATGAATATACTTTATTGTACACCACAAACTAATAAACAAATTACATAACAATAGACAGGTTAAATGTACAATTTGGCGGCCTTATTGCTACATAGCGATCTCTTCCAGGCAACCAAGGGTGTAAAGGAATAAACAATGAATACTGGGTGGGTGGTGCAATATAATTATACAAAATATAATATCAATACATGCGATATATAGACAATAAATGCAATAAAATAACATATAAATAAGTAACACATGAAATGATATAAATTACTAATACATAATAAAAGATAAAGTAAAGCATATAATATATACATAAACATACATATATAAGAGTATATAAACAAACTTACATATCTACCCAAAATACATAAATAAATTACAAATTTCCTCAAACAATAATATAAAGCTGATTTGTAAATTGTAAGTGAGGCAGCAAGGAGCATATGGCTTACCTGATGGTAAGTGACTACCGCTGCACATGAGTAACTGCAACACCAGGGGAATTGCAGGTGTGTGGCCGATTAGAAAGGAGTAAGCTCTTTTCTTGAAGGTCCCTAAATCGTATCGGTCTGGAAAAATTTCTGGTGGTAAACTATTCTACAGAGAGGTTGTACAAGGAAGAAACTCCTAGTAAAATAATTATAATATATTTCATAATTCATTTCAGCCCATCCAAAGTTCACTGCTGAACATAAGCCTTCCCCATAGATTGCCTTATGGGCAGGATATTGCCATAGGTGCCATGTTTGGCAAGTGGGTTGGCAACTGCAGTTACATTTATTATTTTGGTATGTTATCAGGAAAGGTGCAGAGGCGAGAGGGAAACGCATGAAAACATACACACAACACACATTACACACACATACACTACACACACAGTACACACACTATTTTTACTTTACAATTTTTTTTAATTATGTTGTTATGCTCAACATTAATTTTAGTATAAGCACTTCTTGCTTTAAGGTACAATTCCATAGCCGACTGCAGGCAGCAGCAGCAGGCGACGTGTCTTCGCGACACTACTGGTTTCTATGTAGTTCTATGAAATACCTTCCGTAGCTAGCGACACGCCGTTTGCCGCTACGGGCCGAGCGGCAGACGACACTAGCCCGACCACAGATCAGTAGTGCTGCCAACGCCCGAGCGACATGTTGAATTTTTCTCATAAAATGAGTTTTACCGATTCCGAGGAAGAGAAACTGATAAACCAGGTGGCCCAATATCCCGCACTGTACGATGCTTCTCACAATAATTATTTAAACAATGTGATAAAAGATAATATTTTAAAAGAATATAGGAAAGGAGTTAAATAGATGCGGTAAGTACCTATTTTGTTTACATAAACAGAGAAACCACAGAACATTCGGAACAAATTGGAACACAGGCTGCTGCTGCCTGCAGTTGGGTTCGGAATCATGACTGCAGCGACATGATGCCACGACATGTCGCAGTGACATGTCGCAGCGAAGCCTGCTGTTGCTGCCTGCAGTCGGCTACGGAATTGTACCTTTAGTAAAATTTTATGATTTGGAAGAGGGGCTTACTTCTAATACACGGGCGCATTTCACGTTCAAAAGAAGTAGTCATGTACTTGTCAGACCGTGTTTATGAATAAATCTTTATTCTTGTTTTAAGATGCTACTGCCCAGATGGGCATTTTTCGCTTTCCCCCTGTTGTCTCTTACCCTACCCATGGAATTGTATGAGGTGGATATTCTTATATTGCCAATACACAGCTATCTTTAAGTATTATGATTATATTATTTTTTTAACTACATATCTACATACATTTAGCTAATTATTTTATATATGCAAAACAAGTTTTACATGGTAGAGCCACGCTGCAGCTGTATTGTGTAGCAGCTTAATGCTACTGTGTTTCATATGGTGAGTGTATAGAGAACCGGAGACCCTTTTTGCTGGAAACGAGGCATTTCATCTCAGTCCTCAGGGGTGACAGACAACGCATCTGCAATTTTGATTCTTGATTGAGGATAAATGTAGATGTCTATGGACCACAGCATCCACTTACCATCAGGTGAACAATGTGTTCGATTGTCACACTTATTCCATAAATAATAATTGAATTTTAAACTGTAAATAAATAATTGTTGTGGCCTATCATTGAATGAAAACAGTAGTCTAATACATCCATCCGCCATACTACTGTCATGAGTCATGAACCACATGACACAAGCATTTTAAGCTAACTTTGAGAGGTTAATAGGAAGTAATAAGTAACGTTAATAGTGTTACTAGAATTATTTTTTTAGGAATTCTTGTTAGCAGTTCATCAATATTCAACAGTGTTTATGGGATTACATGACTTAATCTGGAAATCATGATGAATCATAAATAGGCTTAGCTAATCAAGTCTGTTTAATTGAGTGCTTTAACAATAACATTTCTAATCTACAGCTAGACACTGAGATAATTCATTTAGAAGAAGAACTAAAACATGAAAAAGAAGCTCATGAGGAAGAAAAGAAAGAGTTGGATATTATTTTAAATGAGGACAAACAAACGGATATATTATTGGAGCAAAAGAAAACACACAGAGATTGTCTCATAGCAGAAGTAGAGAAGAAAAGAGCCCAAAGAGTTTATGATGCAGATGATATCAAAGCCCAGGCAGAGCAAGCGGCACAGAATAATCAAGAAGCAGAAGAGAAGTTAAACTGCCTTAAAGCAACACTCATGAATAAAGAAAACAGCTTAAAAAATTTGCATGCAATCAAACCTAACTTGGATACAGGAATTAATTTGTTACATGAGATTATAAAGCTTTCTGAAAGTATGAAGTAAGGTTTATTTTATGTATGTCTTTTAAAATATTATCCGTGTATGCTTGTAACTTTCGACTACTGTCGAAAGTTTATAACCATTAGCTTCACTTAAAGCTGGGTGCGATAGGTCGTCCCTTACTACATCCCTTGCTGGCACTTGATTGTAGGCTTTTTTCGGCTATACGAAACAGATATAATATATACGGGGGTTGGCCCCCTCATGCCCGGAAAGCACTTGCAGTAGCTGGAAGGTCAGTGGGACTTGTCGCCTGTCCACATAATCTGGCAGAAACAGACTCGACAGTCCTTTTCCACTTACCACTTTTAAAGCACAAACTGTCGAGCGTGGAACTTCCGCAATTCCCACTCTCTGGGAGAAGGATAGCCTAGGTGCAGGAGTTCCGACCGCAATCATATATAATAGCAAGAAACTCTACTTCCATGTCCCTAGGTGGGAATCCCACCAACGAACGCCGCGTCTTTGGAGATCGTCCGGTAATTTCGGACGATTTGGACGGCCATTGTCCTCTAGCACAAGCATTTTAAACTTAGTTTAATGTTTATTGTTAATGTAGTTTTTCTGTAAAAATGGGGGTACATTGAAGAAAAGTAAAAATGATAGTGCCTATCCACAAATGCTCATACAAATTTCAAAAAACATTTGGCTGTGGAAGTCTAAGATAGAATAGAGTATTTTATTCAATATAGTAACATATATTCGAAAAAAAAACTTCTGTCCTGGGTAGAATCAGCAAGAAACCCAGTGGAACTTTTTTTCATATTAATTAACATTATACAATAAACCAAATGTCTCAAAGTCTGGCTATTCATATAATTTAAAACACACAACAGTTGATGCACTGTGGTGAACAGTGGCAGAAACTTTAATTTCATTTAATTTAATTTACAGAGATTATGATTCTGATGATTTAGAATCAGATAGTCAAGATGGTGAGTTGGAAGTTATTAATACAGAATCAAATGAGCTGGAGGCTCAACTGGCGGACTTAAGAGCCGCTAGAGCAGAAGTAGCTAAAAAGTTGCAAGAGAATCAAGCGAAAAGGCAACAAGAAATGATGCTGGCGGAAACGTGAGTATTATCGAAAGTACATGTTATTTATTTTGGTAAGTTTCTTGTTATATGAAAACTTTCTCCAATCTTCATATAATAAGAATGAATAATGTTATGTCCTACAAACTAAAAATTGTCCTATAACCCTATCCTATAAAAAAAAAACCGAACTGCGGTCTCGGCGGCCAGTCTCAACGGCGACTGGATCTGATTAGAACAGATCCAGTTGCCGTTGAGACTGGATTATAGTGCATGAGTGTGTGTGCAAGAGCACAGGTGCACTCTCTTTTCCCTCACTCTCGTTGTTTGATGGGATAGCAAGCTGACACGACTAGAGAGATCAGGCGGTGGACTAACGGCTTTACGTGCCTTCCCTAGGTATGTGGTGAAACAAACCAACTTCCTGACTCTTGGCTGCTACTATGAATTTCTTGACAGCCAAACCTATAATCTGATTCTGGCTTGACTTATGATTGGAACCAGCTAGTCATAATAAATAATTTGGACAATCGCATCCTTTAAAAGTCAATAATAAGCATTTTTCACAAATGTTGGCTGAGACTCCAACCAAGGACTGGCAATTAAATAGTCAGGTATTATGATCAACCAACAAATTAATATTGTTTTCAGGCAATTATTGAGAATTAACAGACAATGCGTATCCTATGTTTTTTTCGAAGGCCTAAAAATACGGTCAGTGGGTCTTCAACCATATGTTGTCGATATTCGGTAAACGGTTTGTTTCATTTTCCGTAATACGTACAGCAAAAGGGTGGAATAATTTGCCGGCGTCTGTATTTCTGTCCTATTACAATATGGACATTTTCAAGGCAAGAGTGAATAGGCTTATGTTATGCTAAGATAGTGCGATTTACCATGTACCATCACCTCTTATCACCAGATGGGATGGTACTAAAGCACTAAGCACTGAGCACTGAGCTAGTCGCAAATCTAATATATACAAATTAATATTTGTTTGTTCGTATTTTATGCGCTGTCATACCATTCATCATAGACAGCTGCCACTGATTGATAACCATCATAATATTTTATTGAAACCTATGGAATTAAAGCAATTTTTATGAAAAGTATATTATGTATATTGTATATCTTATATTTAATGTATAAAAATTAGTTTTTGTTTGTTCGTATTTTATGCGCTGCCATACCGTTCATCAGATTGCGCTAAATTTTTTTATATAGTTAGTTAGTATATTTTACTTTACTTTACTTTACTGCTACTATTTTAGTCCCTATAGTATAGTTTACCCTAAGTAACGTCAGTTGTCACACACAGTTAGTCAGTCAATCAGTTAGTCAAAATCATACAGTCTATTGCAGTCCATAATAGGCATATTATGGACTGCAGTATATATATATACTATATATAATATATGCTGCTTTAACTTCGGAACTTTGTTAGCGCGATTTAGGCTTCGATGTGTTTCGCTTGTGGCGCGACGACAGCGCCGCCACAAAACAATATTTCCACAATTTTCCAAATTTTTAAATTTCTTTTGCGTCTGGTACCAGCTGGTTTATTATATATTAATTTATTGTGTGGTAGAGCTTCTTTTCTACCTAGAAGTCCTGTCGTTGTTGTCTCTGTTTGCTGCCAAATAGTAGTGCTTGCACTACTGTGTTCCGATCTAAAGGATAAAGAGAGCCAGTATAGTTAAAGGCTGTGAGGCATTCTATTTTAGTGTTTAGAGAAGACAGTGCATCTGTAGCCTGCTTTGTTTGAAGGTGATTGCAGGTATCCATGAACTGCCGTAGCCATTTACCATCAGGTGCACTGTAAGCTCTCGTTTGTCAATTCAGTTTTATAAAGAAAGTGTAAACCAGATGCAAATATAATTTTATGTGGCTATGTACCTATTTATTCTTGTGTATTGTTGTTCAATTGTAAATAGGAACCTTCGAGAGGCGGAAGAGAAGGAAAGAAAGAGGGTAGAAAGTGCAAAGAAATTGACACAGCGCTTAGAAGAACTCAAACACCGTCGTACTACATATGAAGAGGAAAAAGCTGAGTTAATGGACGAACTCACAAGAATTAAAAACGACTTCAGCAATAGTGTAAGTTGTAACACATCTATTCTTTTTAACTAGGATTTTCACCTTGTGGAGGAGGTTTACATATATAAATTGCACAAGGATAAACATCCACACTTAATTACAAACATACAAATACTTGTTCCGTGGCGAGATTCGAACCCGCGGCTCTTAGCTTTTCGACTGCTAAGCCAGTGCCTGAGGACGTAGCCGTCTTGTTATATTAATATTTTAAAATCTATATCAATTTATATTGTGTAATAAAATATTGATAAGAGAAGGAATCACCCCACTTCGCCCTGTGGCAATGACTGATAGATAACACCATGGTGAAAAGTGTAAGTCATCTGGTATTGTCAACCCAACTGCAGAGTCAATGTCGATAAAGGTAAATCCTCCCTACAACCGACTGATAGAGAAAATTATGTTAAAAATCACTGAACCTAAATTTCAATGGCTGGTGATAAAGCAGCGTTACCACAACGAGGGTACTGGCTCTGCGCTCACCATCTCGGCTGCTCAGTGTGGGAAGTGTGGGAAAATCCTCAGGGTAATATGTGATAGCTGGTACGTTTGGGAGTAAAACATGGTGTACGCCTAAGAGAGTTCGTGATCACATTTCGCTCCCTAAGTTTGGTAAAACTCAATTACCTGTTGTGCCAATAAGATCGTTTGGCATGTTTTTATTAACACGTTTTTATTAGCTTGGTATGTATCTATGTAACGGAATTTTTAAATGTGAGTTTCTTACTACTTTCTTACTACTACTTTAAAAAATCCGATTGTTTTGAAACTTCGCACACCTATCAAGGACTGATGACAATGCAATAATTTAAATAGTTTGTCCCATATCCTTGCCAGGATCCTCAGGAATTGCGAATAATTCATAAAACAACCAAGATTTCAAAACGTCTGGTACTGTGACCATCAATCCACCTACTAAGTGTGACGATTATGTCAAATTAATTCTACAATAGAAAGGGTTCATGTGCAGCGGTGAACTTTTATAGGATGCTGATGACGGTGATGATGATGCTTAGCAACAGATAATAAATGGCTGTTGATTTTTGTGACTTATTGCTATAATTTTAAATAAAATAATATCAAGTATAAACCTCATCATTTGACCATCTTTCCATGAGCTACGTGGCTCTTACGTGATAAAGCCATTTTACAGCTATATTACTGTTATAGTTGTAGCACGAATGGGTCCGCTCGACAGGGGAAGGACCACGCTATCACAGAATACCAGCGTAAAATAGCAGCTTGACCCTACTGTGTTTCGTATGGTGATTGTAGAGTACGGCAGAACTTTTTCACTGGAAACGAGGCATCCCATTTTAGTCTTCATGGGTGACAACGCATCTGCATTTTGATTCGACATCGATGGTAGATGTAGATGTCTATGGATCACAGCAATAACTTATCATCAGGTGGAGTGTGTGCTCACTTGTCACCCTTAACATAAAAAAAGCTAGATGTAAATATTCAGACCGGCAACAGAGCGCTATATTAGCAGCACTTTCGGGGGCTCATAACCAGTAAATGTAGCAAATACTAATATTGTGATATTTAACACTGTTGATTTCATACTGTTTTAGCCAAACTATTCAAGTTGTAGCAACTTGAATAGTTTGCTTTAGCATGCTTTTGCCACGTACACTTGTTTAGTGTTGCAAAAAAATTATCATCATTACTGCCCTACACAAGTCCATTGCTGAACGTGATCCTCCCTCAATGAATGCCACAAATAAACATCCTCAGTCACCTGCATCCATCAACTTTGTGCATGGGTTTTACATGGGGTTACACTTTGCTACTTGTAAAAATCTTTTATTCTCATTGTTTTTCGTTTCCTCGAGCTAAACGGTTGGTCGATTGCTACTTCAGCTCACTAATCCGTTAACAATGGGCTTAGTTCCTAGTAAATATTTTTTTTTGTTTCAGTTGAAGTCAATTGAAGATTCCTTAATAAAGAAAACTCTGGATGTCAAGAAAAGAATAGAAGATAAAATTCGTAATCGTAATAATATGTAATAAAATATTTAAGTTTTAAAGTTTTGTAAACTAGTGATATTGTTTGCTATAATCACACAATCTGCCAGCAAGGATGTCTGATTATATTACTGTAGGAGAAGTACCACCAGTGAGCTTTTATGGTCTGATGAAAAAAGTGATATTGTACTATGTAGATAATGCTTTATTAAGTAAAATAAAATAAAAATAAAAATATGTGTTTGTTAAACTGTCGTATAATAAGAAATAAAAGGCGATACTATTTTTAGTATCGCCTTTTATTTTCTATTCGGAGACTTTAAAAAAAGTAAATATACTTAATTCTGAAAATATTAGACACACTTTTTTTGTTGGTTCCGAGTATACACACATACATAGAGTAATACAATCACTCAGCGGTCCGGAGGGGAGTAGCCATACGCAGGCGATCCTCTTTGTCAATAAGTCCACACGGTCCACTCGTGCCTGTAATCATTTTTGAGATTGTTATCTGATTTATTTAATATATATTGTGAGCTTTAATAACATAGTTTAATATTAAAATTGTATCAAATTAAATGTAATACAACACTTACGAGTATTAATACATTATATAAAAATTACTATGTGTGAACTTCGACCATATTGCTTTAATTTATTTATTGCAGGTTTCCTAAAAATTACAGTTTAAGGGATATATGTAAGTACTTTTGTAATAACTGGCTTACCTGGTTCCCATAAGAAGTAATGTCATTTGTTCAGATTATTTCCAGACCTGTGACTCAAGTGTTGGCGAATAATAAGAAGCGATAGGTCGAAGATATCCAACTCTAATATCAAACTGTATTTGTTCCGTAAGCTTTTTTATATCATGAAAGCAAACTAGCCTACAGTCAATCTGATGATAAAACTGTGACCCATGGCATTTATGATCTCAAGGCCAACAAACCGCTTCAGATTGCAAATGCGACACCAACTCTAAGGACTAAGATGTAATGCCTCGTGCCACCAGTTAAACGTTGAATGCAATAAAGAGTTATCTATTTATCTATCTCATTCACAACACAGTCTAATCAAATTATATGTAAGTCTCATAAGTCAATTTCGATATTATTATAAGTATTATTTAACACATTCAGTGCCACCGACTCGCCCGGAGAGTTCACGTAAATCTTATTCCAGTGCCGACGACTCGTCTGGCGAGTTCAGTGTTTTACACTAATATTTCCAAAATGCATCCGTATTTTCTGCTTAAAATTATAGTTTAGACTAAATATATGCTAAACTAAAGATTTACGTGGTGGGCCGGGTGTGGAGACTGTTTAAATTTGAAAGGAAACAAACTATTCTGCAATGCCTTGAACTCGCTAGGCGAGTTCCCTGACATAGATCCTCAACCATTTACATGTTAGATAACGACGTCAACATAGTAGCATGGACTACCTACATACTTGTGATATGGAACTAATATACAACAAACTAGTTTCATTAGAATAAAAAACAAGCCTTAGAAATACAAAGTAATCGTAATATTTGAGATCACATATCTAGTAGCCATATTATAAATCTTGTAGCTTTGTAATAGGGTAGAAAATGAATTTAAAAAAAAGGGTCGGCATTGTAAAAACAGCCGACAAAAAAATACCGGCGCGCCGTTGTGTCAAACACAAGATTTCAAAACGTCTGGTACTGTGACCATCAATCCACCTACTAAGTGTGACGATTATGTCACACTTAGTAGGTGGATTGATACAGTACAGAACAAAAGCACTGATAACATTGTTTTTACAAAGCTCTCATTGGCTAATGTTAAATCGCACTCCAAGAATGCACTTGCAACTAAATATTTCGTCCATTTTATTTCTATTTGTGACGTCATTACCTACTCTAGTAAACTTCTGTAAACTTTGTTTTCAATAGCAGTGCTCTGTACGACCCTTTCGTCATCGCATGCGTTTATCTGTTCTCTACCTTTGTGACCTGGCTTACGTTTACTGAACTCCCGTGTTTTGATTACCTTGGCTTGCGATTACTGGACTTGTTTGAGTGCTGTTTCGACTATACCTTTACTTACGATTACCGGACCTGTTTGAGTACTGTTTTAACTACTTTGGCAAACGTTTACTGGACTTTGAGTGTTCTTGTGTCTACCTTGGCCTGGTCTGGAAATTGTTATGGTCAAAAGTTTTCACAGCTTGAATTTTGAAAATCGGTGAGTACTCTCCATTTTGGTTTATTTATTAAATGGAAAGTTTAGTTTATCAGAGTGTTACTCAATCTAAATCTTTCCTTGATTTAAACTAATACAATATAATATTTTGTAGACTTCACATTTTGTCTTGCCAAAATAAAGTATAAAGTATTTTTATTTTAAGACTCAATGATGTTTTAATCTAGCACATATTTTTTAAACTACCATAGTTTAAAAAATATGTGCTAGATTAAAAGTTATTAGAAACTTATGTAGAAGTAGTCCTTTTATACAGGCTGGCCAGAAGATTGAGAAAGAAAAAAAAATAGGTCCCTCGTGTCATGGATTCTTCGAATCACCCCCATGTATGTTTCGCGAATTTTTATAGTTTTCGAGTTGTAAATCGTTTTCTGAATTTCTGAGAATATTGGACCTAACCAACTTGAAACAAATACAGTGTAAACTATTTATAACGAAACTCAAGGGACCGAACATTTTTATCGTTATAGAGAGTTACCATTATATGGAGTGAAGAGTAAAGTAAAAGTAAAGTTGCAGCCTATTTATGTCCCACTGCTGGGCACAGGCCTCCTCTCATTTCTGAGAGGGTTTTAGGGCAAGGAAATGTCCGCCGCGCTGCCCCAATGCGTGTTGGCGAACTTCACATATCTTTGGACGGCAATCTTCCGGCCAACCTGTATAAGCCAGAGAGATTCATTAATTTGTTTGTTTCATAATGTTAAAAAAGCTTACGAAATAGTACAAATTAATGTTTTTGTCCAAGGTTATGGATCCTTACGACAACCCAGTACCTGGAACTTCTTATTCCTGGGGCGATCCTGCTTGGAATACCCTCCACATAGAGGAGACACTCGTATCTATGGATTCGTTCATCGGGGAACCAAATAGAGAAGAAACGATTTTACTTATCCATTCACCTCAATATCCAATCACGGATTCTGAATTATTGGGGATATTGTCGGAAAATGTAATGGATGAATTGGAGACCGATAATGATGGTGACACTGATACCGAATTTTCCGAAATTAATGAAAATGCACAAGATGACTGTTACGCTTGGTGAAGCATGGATTCCCGGAAACCCGACAACTAATATAACCGGTTTCCCATTCCTGAAGACGCCCGGACTGAAAAAAGATGTTGGTGATGAGCCTATTAATTATTTCGATGCATTGTGCTCTTCCAATCTGCTGGAATTACTTAAAGACTGTTCCAATTAATATGGGGAAATAGAAAAAACTTCTACCGCAGCCACAAAAGCAGAAAAAAATCTTGGAAACCTGTAACCTGTCAAGAAATGAAATTGTTTTTCGGTCTCATATTTCATATGGGATTTATAAAGATAAATCGCTTGAATGACTATTGGAAAAGCGATGCGTATTTTGGTCAACCTATATTTTGAAGGGCAATGTCACGGAATAGATTTATTTTAATTTTGAGAATGTTATGTGTGTATGTAGGACAAGCGACGTGTAGTTATGATAAAGTTAAAAATATCATCGATTACTTTAATGAAAAAATATTATCTCTATATAATCCAACAAAAAAAAATTACCATTGACAAATCAATGATGTTATGGCGGGGACGATTATCATTTAGACAATATATGAAGGGAAAGCGCCATAAATAAGGCCTAAAATTCTACGCACTGGCTGATCAGCTCGGGGTTATTATGAAACTACATTTATACGGCGGTGCATCTGATGTTCTCGTAGGCGGCAAAAATCACGTGCAAAAAGTAGTTGACCACTTGCTTCATGATTTTATTAATGTAGGATATCATTTGTTCGTAGACAATTTTTACACAAGCGTCAATTTAGTTGAAAAATTATTTTCTAATAAAACCTTTTGCACAGGTACGCTTCGACAGAAGAGAAAAAATAATCCAAAAGAAATTGAATCGGCTAAATTAAAAAAGGGAGAATTATGCATTGTTCACAAGAATAATATTTGTGTATTAAAATGGATAGACCAAAGAGAAGTAAGGGCTATATCAAGTAAATATAATGGGGATTTAGAAAGCACGCGAAATCGACGGGTACTTTAAAATCAAAGCCACAAATGGTTATTAAATACAATAAAAGTATGAAAGCAATCGATCGACATGACCAAATGTTGTCTTACTATTCATGCGAGCACAAATCGTTGCGATGGTATAAAACGGTAATCATACATGTTATGCAAATTTTATTGGTCAACTCCTTTTTATTGTATAACAAATACAGTTCAAAAAATTTAACATTGTACGATTTCCGCTTAACTGTAATTAAATCAATTATAGAACCTCATTTGCCTCCCGCATTACAAAGGCATTTAATAAATAAAATTCATTGTATCATGAAACTACCAAAAGATACCCACGGCAAAACAAAGCGAAGGCGTTGCAATCAATGATGGCGCACATTTAAAAAAAGGATTCAAACTATATTCGCATGCGAAGATTGCCCCGGTCAGCCATGATTGTGTATTGAGTGTTTTAGACCGTACCATAAATATTAAAGAGCGTTTATACCATCCACTAGCATCACCAACTAGTGAACGGCGTAAAAGCATTTATTGATCTCCTTCGTATTGAAAATTTTAGTGTTGCCTAAAAATGTTGATTTAAATTGTTTTGTACTGTAAGAATAAAAGAGTTGATTTACATAGTGTTTTATTTACTTAACTAATTTCCACCACTTAACAAACACAATTTTACAAATTAATATTCATTAACATAGTCTTTAGAGTAACTCAGTCTTGTGGATTAAATTATTAAGTAATAATAAAATAAGTAAATAATCAATATATCGATAAAGTATTTATTAATAATCATTCATAGATTCTTTTGCGTTTCAATCATTATATAACTTTTTAATCCCAATTATCAGACCTTAATTAATTTATGAATTGTTTTCAATTAGTGTAATAATCCGATGCATAACAAAGCGCCTTTTAAACATTGGCACATTTAGAAGTTCACGTCCAATAAAAATACCAAAGCTTTCGCTGGCCATTTCTATATACTTTGGATTATCTGTAGTATTAGTTTGAGTGCTGCTTTCGGTAAGATTTAAGTTTGTCGTATTTGTTGAAATATCACATTTCTGATAGTTATTATTGTCGTCATCCCAGTCTTGAGAATCATTTTCAAACAGAACCTTCATCGAGTTGTCTTCAGGCAAAAATTGGAGATTTTCTAAAATAGAATAAAAATAGGAATAAAGTAGCTTTTAAACTAAGTTTGTATAAAAAGGGTTATTATAATATTAAGGAATTTATGGATGATAATAACCCCTGGAAATGAGGTGATCGCTACCAAGCTATTTCTAATTTGTTGTGTTGTTAATTTGTGTAACATCATGATTGTAAGCTGTTATTTAAAAAAAAAGTCCCGCTGGGTTTCTTGCTGGTTCTTCCCAGGACAGAGGTTTTTTCCGAACCAGTGGTAATCAAACAAAAGAATGACTTTCAATAAGTATTATTTATAATCTATATTGAATAAAAAAGTTTCTGTTTCTGTTTCTGTTTCTGTTTCTGTTTTATCCCTTAAACGCATCTTGTATCGATATTGATACATTGCATTCTAATCGTTTTTATCGGTTTTTTATTTGAAGTACAGCATAGGCTGAATGTTTACACGTTTCTTTGCCTTATTGCCCACAAAAAAACAAAAATGTCATGTGTCAATGTTATTTCTGAAGGATGATTTTCTTGTCTGTGCTAAGGACATCAACGAGGTGCGCATAATCATAAGACTGAGTTTTTCATCTAGCGGCGAAAACGAAAATAAGTCGAATTTTTACCAATAAAAATCACAAAATGGATGGTAAGTCCTTCATTTACTTGAAAACATTTGAAATTGCACGACTTTCATGTGTTTACGTGAGCAAATATCGCATTTTATGTTTGTATCGAAAACGATACAGCATGCATTTGATTCCCGCCTAAACCCAATTCAATTGTTTGTTCATAACGGTTTTGCTTATGATTTTGCTTGCTTTTAGATACACAAAACTATACGTTTACGTTGTTAATATATAGATGAATGCATATTTTTGCTTTTCAGAGCAACAAATAGAGGATATGCTCAGGAGGTTGGAGAATGGTGACATTTCGGAAGATGATTTAGAGTCAGATGGAGAAGATATTTCTTATAACCCATATCTAGGAGCCTTAGCAGCTGAATTAGAGGACGATGAACACGTTCTTACGGGACAGGACAATTCAGAAGATTTTCTGGACCAACCATTGATTCAGGATGAGCAGCTTGTGCAAGGCGCACAGTCGTTGGAGCGAGTGGAAGCACAACCGACTGAATCTCTCATGAATTTGAGGAATTTACTGTGGAGAAAACAGTCTTTTCTATTTGATGAGAATAAAATCAAATTTGGTGGGTCTGAAGAGTTACCTTCATCTATAATGGAACTGCAAAGTCCGTATCAGTTTTTTACCTACTTTTTCATGAATCCGTTTATGGAAAACATTGTTACTGAATCAGCACGCTATGCTGTCCAGAAACAACCTGACAGACCTGAAATATTCACAGTGGGTGAACTTCGCAAATATTTTGGTATTTTAATATTTATGTCTGTTTACCATTATCCGAGCACAAGGTCGTATTGGTCTAATAAATTTGGCTTCAGTCCCATCAAAGAGGCAATGCCAATAAATAAATTTGAGAAAATGCGAAAGTTACTGCACTTCAATAATAATGATGATCATCTGCCAGTAGACCACGTGCAGCATGACAGGCTTCATAAGTTACGTCCTATAATCACCCATTTAAATGAAAAGTTCTCTAGCGTGACTATCGAGCAGCGATTATCTATAGATGAACAGATGTGCGCCACCAAAGTGGGACATTTTCTCAAACAATATCTCCCCAACAAACCCCAGAAATGGGGTTTTAAATTGTTTGTTTTATGCAATTTGAGCGGTTTTGCTTATAGATTCATAATCTACTCTGGGAAAGAAGCTAATGAAGGATCCTCAAACAGTCAAAACCTGGGAGTTGTAGGACAAACAGTTATGAATTTGCTGAGTGTGGTACCCAGGCAAAGAAATCATATTGTCTATTTTGACAATTACTACACATCTTTGCCATTGATGTGTATACTTGCTAAGCAAGGTATACATTCCCTAGGCACTATTCAAAGAAACCGACTGGGAAAAACTTGCAAGTTGCCAACTAAGCAGGATGTTATGAAAAGTTCAATTCCAAGAGGTTCTTATGAAGAGTATGTTACAAATTTTGAAGGCATTGACATGACAACAGTAAGTTGGAAGGACAATAAGCAAGTTGTGTTAGCGTCGACATACGTTGGGGCATGTCCCGTAGGGAATATCGAACGATTCGATAAAAAAGAAAAAAAGAGGATTCTTATCACGTGCCCAAAGCTAATCAGGGAATATAACATGCACATGGGTGGTGTAGACCTCATGGATTCCTTTTTAGGAAGAAATAGGATTCGAATGAAGAGCAGAAAGTGGTACATGAGAATCTTCTATCACCTGCTTGATTTAACAGTAATAAATTCGTGGGTGTTATATAAAAAAGTTGAAGAAAAAAAAGGAAACCACAAAAAAATCATGACCCTTGCAGACTTTCGATCAGAGTTGGCAGAAACTCTTTGCAAATATAGTCCCGCTAACAACAGAGGGCGCCCAAGCACCAGTGCAATTAGGGAAGATCAACCCCCACTTAAAATGCGAAAAGGGAAACCTTGCCAAGTTTTGCCACCCCTTGAAGTTAGACTCGACCAAATGGATCATAACATCATGAGAACAAAAACACGTGGTCGATGTATGATGCCATCATGTAATTTATTAAGTATAATTAAATGTTCTAAGTGCAATGTTCACTTATGTAGTAAGAAATCCAAAGATTGTTTCACCCATTTTCACAATTCTTCAACTTTGTAAAATCATGATTATTTTGCAAAGCTAATGCATACTGTATCGAAAACGATACAAAAATATTTTTATAAAAAAATAAATGTTCCCGTTAATATAGATTTTTTATTTTATTTTATTCAGTAAATGTTACGCCTTTATGAGACAAAATAATTTTTTTTGGGTAAAAATCTTTTATTATGCATTTAAGGGTTAAATATTACATGAAATATTAAATTTTTTTTAATGTAAACAAGTGATGAGACGAGCTGGACATTCACCTGATGGTAAGCGTCATGCCAGCCTATAACAGTTGCAGTGCTACCCATTGCTTTGATTTACAAAGTCATTGGTTGCACTGCACTGCGCTCATCGCTGTGAGACGTCAGTTCTTGAGTCTCATGTGCCCAGTAATTTCACTAGCTACAGAGGTCTTCAAACTGGAACAGAGTAACGCTTACGCATAAATATTTGGCGGCAGAATATCTGTCACTGCGGTGGTACCCACCTAGTCGTACCTGGCATAAAAGGCCTACCACCTGGTAAAACGTTGTTGACATTAGTTAAATGAAAATAATCAACAACAAAATAGACAAGTTACCTTCTATGCATTGTCGCTTTGTAGGTCTCTCCTCCCCCATCTGAGTTAAATTGTCGTCGTAAGGCTCCGTTTTTGGTAGAAGCCGCGCTAAAAAAATATCAGGCACTCCTTAACCGGTTCAGTGGAATACTTTTGTGTGTGGCGTATGACACGCGAGGCGTGTGCTTTTAAAAATCGTTATAACTCGCTCAAAATGCTTTTTTGGAAAAATTATCCAGAACAAAATATTCATTATTTTGCAAGTAGTTCATGCCTGCGGCTTCGTTTCTGGATATTTTGAAAAATTGAAATTATTAGGAGTTGACAACCTTTTTTAACTTGTACATGGTACATACAACAACCTATAAAGTAAAAACGGTATTTTACTTTATAGGTTTTTAAAACATGTTGTGGAAAAATACTCTAATAAGAAACAAATGAACAAATAATAGCACTCATTGCGATCACTCACAAACTCAAGTTGTAAACAAGTTTCTAGAAAACAACTCTCCTGTTAAAAAAAACCAATGCCTTTATCTCTTTTGCTTAAAATGGTTGAAGTGCCGACTTATTACTATAATTTGGCCGAATGGACCTACGAACTACCATGTGCTCTTGTGATATGGTATAAGGTTTATTTTTGCTTGAAACAGTTTGAAACTGTTCATGCATAAAAAAAGTTCGCTAATAAATAGTCTTTTGTCAATCTGCCGCCATATAGCGCCGGTATTTGTTTCCTTTTGAAAACACTTGTTTTGCTATTCTTACTAATTAGACGTTTTCGAATCGACTTTACTTTTACATTTGTATAACATTAAATAATATTTAACATTTGTAAACATGAATGAATCATAAACCTTATTTTTTCCTAATTAAGGTTCTTGATTGTTTGATATTTACAAATATTATTATTAGGTGAAAATTTATTTAAAAAAAAACCAAGGTTTTCCAGGGTGATTTAGCTGACCTACTTATATTATATTATATTCATCATCATCATCATCATTACAGCCCTTCACAAGTCCACTGCTGAACATATGCCTCCCCCAAAAAATGCCACAAAGCACGGTCCTGAGCCACCTGCATCCATCGACTTCCTGCATGTCTTACCAGGTCGTCACTCCATATCGTGGGGGGACGCCCTACACTTCGCCTACTGGTACGAGGCCGCCACTCGAGAACCTTTCT